TCTAGTTGATCATACCAAATCTTAGCTTTATTTTTTAATTATATAGCTTTTATGTGAAAATAAATAAATAAATAAATTTTCTTTTATTTTTAATAAAATAAATATTTCTTGATTTGTTATAGATTTACACATTAGAAAAGAGTTGGGTTCTCACATGGGAAAATCCGAACCGGTATAGTTAGCTAGGAAAATGATTATTGCAGCACCTAATTAGGTTAAGGCCTTTCTCTCGGTAAAAACATAAGATCCATTGATTATTCTTGGTTTATTTGTTTTTATGTTGGCTTACATTTATAAGCTTTGTCATGTTCTCGTTGGTTAATTCCCGTGATAATATTAAGTTTCTTGTCATGATGACTTCTCTCTTAATTTGTAATTAATTAATTAATTAACTAATTAAAACTCTACTGGAGTGCTGTCAAGTTCTCATTTGCTGAAACCCCTCTTCTCATTGACTGTTAATATTATGTCTGTCCCAAAGCATCAAAATAGAAATCTGACCTAAGAAGAAAAAGTTAGGAGACTAGGGTTTGCAAAACTCCAAAAGGGCGTAACAACGCGTGAAAGTCCCATTTCAAGTTACAGCCAAACACATCTAAAATTTCACAACACTTTGGATGTGCCTCTTTGTTTTACGATTTTACCCTTTTCAAGAGTAAATGAACACGTTAGGGCATGGACTATGCTTAGGGTTTGAAAATGGGTCTAAAAGTCATATATTTTTATCTTTTTAACTTCAGAATCTTTTGGTCATGATTTTTCTGACCACTTAAAGGACCCCAGGGGTGGTGTGGGGTGGGGATTTTCGTACCACTTCCTTTATTGAGTGCTATCTTGCATCATTTTTTTTTTTTTTTTAAAACATGTCTGGATGAATTTGATCTCGTGAGGACTTCTCCGCTACAAATTAAGATATCACTTCAATCTCGATTAATATTTTTAATGAATACATGGTTAATGTTATAGTAAATAAAATAATCTTGTCATAAATATTGTTGTATTTGATTATACTTTTGTTAAACATATATTGGCAAATTATATAAATAAATATGTAATATAATATATTTACTAAATTATTGATATTAAAAATAGTTTAAAATAATGAGAATAAAAGAAAATTAATTGTATGGATAAAATACATTGGCGACAAACTTGATTTTTACTCTACTCTAATTTAGTAAATTCCACCCTAAAGTGGTGATATGAGTTAGAAATTACCCAACTCATTTTCATTATTTTCTCAATTTTTTTTTTTCCAATTTATGAAAACTATTGGAAAAAATAAATAAGAATAGAAAAAGAGAGAGAGAAAGAAAGTAAAAGGGGGCAATTGGAGAAGTGAGGTGTTTGATTATGATGGCATGGGAAAGAGCGATAGAATTGAGAGGTGATAGACAAACAAGACTCTTCCATATCTATACATAGATTCCTGCTCATATAAAGTTCGATTTTCTTGCGAGTGATTAAAAAGGGAAAAATATTTAAAAGCGAGAGCAATATCGGGATTTTGAGTAAATCGAAGTTGGGTATTGAGGGGGTAGCCGATGGATATTAACCGCGGTGCACAAGGGGCCAGCTGACACGTGGCGGGATCCCGTAGCATACTTACCTATAGCCAATCATATTGTGGGATCTCGTGCCACCGTGGCAGAGGGCAGCCAATCAGGGCGTCGACGAAATTAAGGTTGTACCGTGTCCCTACTCAAACTGCATTTATGTGTTTTCACTCTGATGTTACCTCTTAATAAGGCTGGTAAATTTTATATATATATTTATATTTATATTTGTTTAATGTCTAATAATTAGAGCAATTGTCTCACTATTTTTTATTTTATTATTCACTTTTATATAAGCTTAAAAGGTAGTTTCGCGCCCTTCGTAATCTTATGTGGCTAAATATTATGCTTTGTAATATAGCTCGGATAAGAATTACTAATTTGTTATACTAAAATAACTTAGGTTCGGATTGTCATGTATATACATATATTTAATATATTTAAACTATTTCATATTAATCTATTATAAATTGTTATATATTGTTCCTTATTTATTTTATCAAACTTCAATAAAATATATAAATATTATTTTATTATTTTTTTGTTGTACAGTAAATTATTTTATCAACCACATGTACAGTACACGGATATTATACTAGCTATTATAAAGTTTGAATTTGAATGAAAACAGTAGCACTTAAATTCTTAATAGGTGGCATCTTCATGAAGTAATGAGGGAGCAAAGTAACTATATATAGGGCAAAATAATTTGAAGTAAGATGTGACGAAGATAATGCTATGAATTAAATAACTAAAACAAATGATAGATACATAAAATGCATACATATATATCTATATATTTCATGGGGTCTTAATTTTGATTAAAAAATAAGTCATCTTTTGCTATCTATATCTTTTAATAACCTTAACAGACTGAGATGAAGCAAAAATATATTCATTCAGCTAATTATTTCACGCAAACACACAGCAAGGTGTCATAGGCTTAGTTTTAAACCCCGCCCAAGAATCGACACGTACAAGTCTTCAGGTCATCGGGTTACCTGTTCAACCGTGAGGTCACTAGGTTTATTGCTGAGCCGGATAGTTAATTTTAAAATTTAAAAATTATATATATATTCTATTTTTGTCATATAAATATACCTAAAAGTAATTAAATAAGATGTTTGTAAATAAAATTTGTACATTAAAATGTAATAATATTGTATCTCATAATAATTATTTACCATATAAATATGGGCAAAAATCCAATTTTGGTCCTCTAATTTGTCCATTGTCTACTTTTGGTACACTATCTTTCCCCTCATAAAAAATGGTCCATTATGTTACATTTTTCATCAGTTTTAGTACGCCACTCCAGTTGGCGGGATTACAAGATGACGTGGACCGGGATTGGAACTACGTGGAGGGATAAGATATTGACGTGCTAGAATAAAAACCTGATTTGGCATCTCGTAATCCCGGGCTACGGGATTAGTGTACTAAAACTGATGAAAAGTGTAACATAATGGATCATTTTTTATGAGGGGAAAGATAGTACACCAAAAGTGAACAATGGACAAGATAGCGGACTAAAATTGAATTTTTTTCCTAAAAAATATATTTAAAGAAAATAGGGGCCGGTCAATAGGGTTGACCTGACCGGGTCAATGCCTCCGGTCGAGTGGGTCAATGTCTGGTTGGCCGGGTTTTGACCAGATCCATTGTTACCTAGTCCGAATAATCCACCTGGATTGAGTCCGATCATTCCGGGTCGATCGGGTCTCGGGTCGACCCGTCAGGCCGATCCAGATTGAAAAACTATAGTCTTCGGACTCGACGCTACACATGATTGATTTTTGACTGCAAAATAATTAGGAAACATTTAATATAAATGCATATAGTACATTTACATTTATTAATTTGAAAGTATTTTGAAATTTTGATGTGATAGCGGAATCAATTTTTCTTAAAACAAGCTATATCTCCTTGTTCTCATTGGCAAAAATTTAATTTTGGTCCGTTTATTTATCCAACGTCCTTTTTTGGTACACTAACTTTCCTCTCATCAATAATAGTACATTATGTTGCAATTTGTATCACTATTGAGACATTATCCCGAAAATGGTTCATAATATTTGGGGATTAATATTCTAAAAATGACACAAATTGCAACATAACGTACTGGTTTTGATGAGTAGTGCTCCAAAAATGATACAATTTGCAATATAACTTACTATTTTTGATAAAGAGGAAGTTAGTGTACAAAAAATGGACTTTAGACAAGTAAACGGACAAAAACTGTTTTCCGCCATTATGAAAATACGAGCTTTAGTCAGAAACTTTACAACTTCAACTACATCTCTAATTACTTAGGATTAGATTTACTAACCAAAATATATGACCAACTTGACAAAGTTTACACTAGCTAGTTGTTCTTGTGGGATTTGAAAAGTTTGTTGAACTTACTAAATTACATGTTTATTTAACAATTACCGGTATAGTAGTAGTAGGGAATGATAATTAGTTAATTATGATTTAATAAGGCAGCATATAATTTGCTTATCGGTTTTTAAGTGAACTATAAAATTTTCGAATACGCTGAGTGACAGACTCGTACGCTTCGTAATCTTATTTGACATAAATTAGTGTTCCGTATTGACACATGTACATGTTTAGTTTTAATTATTAAGTTTGAGAATTACCATAAAATATTTTACCTTCCATTTTTCTTAAATTATCATATACTATACTCTTGCATTTTCTTATTTAATTTATTTTATTAATTATTATAAATATGTACTTATTTTATTTCTAAAACTTTATAATTTTTTTATTTATATTTTATTTTTTATATACGGTATTTCTAAATAATCATATTTGAACGATTTTCAATTTGACATCCATATTGAATATATAAAATAAAAAATAATTTCATCTATCTTTATAAATAAAACTAGTTTTATCATCAAATCAATCTAAATTAAAAATAACAAATAACAATATAAATTATTTTATAAAATAATAAAAATATAATTCATTAATACACCATACAATAATTATTTTAATGTGTTTTTTCATAAACTTTGTATAAAATATGAAAATTAAGTATTACATAAAATAAATTTTAAGAAATATTATAAAATATTATTTCTCAGTAGAAATAGATTATATTATGAACTGAATGTTATTGTGTCCTTTAAATAATAGATATAAAGAAAAATTATAATTTAAAATAATAAAGTAATTTATATTTCATATATCTTGAAAATAATACAATCTGCATAAATTAATATTCTAAAGTATTAAATATTATGAATATAAAATACTTAAAAAATTATAAATGAGAGGCACCGACTCTATAAATATAAAATAGGATCACAATACAATAAAACTTGTTTTGTTTTTTAAGGAACTGTGAGTATTGTTGGGTGTGAGTCAGCCTAAAATGGACAGTATTGAACTTACAAAAACGAAACACCTTCCCTATCTTGAAAACAAATAGAAATGTTACTTTTAGCCTGCAAGGTTTGTGCGATTCATTGCTTATCAAGGAATATAGTTAGATCAAATGCTTTCTCAGACCAAAACCATTGCTTGTAAAATATTGTATTTGCAGTGTTAGGGCAACTATTGACAGGTACAAGAAAGCAAGTGCCGATTCATCTAATTCTGTCTCCACTTCTGAAGCTAATACTCAGGTAACTTTGAATCCTTATTTTTCTGTCTGTATGAATAAATTTACATTTCAGAACATTCCTTTCAAACAATTAACTATTAATTCCTTTCAAACAATTAACTATTAATTACTTGGTTTAATTAACAGTTCTACCAACAAGAAGCCAACAAGCTGCGCAGGCAAATACGAGAGATACAGGTTTCAAACAGGCGAGCTCCCATTAACCTAACAATATCACAATTGAGTTGATTATCGGTTAATTATCTATCTTAAATTAAATGGCGAATTGGCAGACAAATACTAGGAGAGGGTGTTAGTAGTATGTCCCTCAAGGATCTCAGGGGCACAGAAACTAAAATTGAGAAAGCCATTGCCAGAATCCGTACCAAGAAAGTAATATTTGTTGTCAAGTATTGTTTTATCATCTTCTGTGCGAGTATATGTATATATGTATAATCTATGTATGTGATCTTCAATCTCCTTGTT